GGGAGTAGGACGGCAAGGGCCGCTCTCCGCAAGGCAACGCCACGAGCCGGGTAATTTCACGCAGGTAATGTAGCATGCTTTCGCAGGGGGCCGACCGACGGCGTGGCAATCGCTAAGTGGGGCGCCGATTCTCGTATCGTTGGATTCGATGACAAGAACGTATGGATTATCACGGAGGGCGTGCCTGTCTGCATGGCTTTCGACAGGCTTCGACCGTGTACAGCGGCGGAAGCGTTGGCTTACCAATGTCCCTCTAAGCTTCATGGCGGTGGGCGAGCGACGTGAGCGAGCGGCGTGAGCTGCCAGAATCACGGGCGCAAGAGCATTCAGCGCAAGAACATACCATGGCGACGGAAGAGCTGGCGGGGGCCCCAGAAGACCCCGACATCATAGCGGAAGCATTTCGCCAAAAGGAAGAATATGAATTGTCGGATGAAATTGTCGTTCTTGTGCCGCCCGCGTCGAGGTCGTCACAGGTGACTCGAACGCCCATTCAGAGGTCGCTACTAGGCGACGCCCCGCACGGCATACAGAGTCGCAACGAAGTGATGCGATGATAAGTCGAGAATGCCGATGGTTGCGCGGGAAAGGTTTCCGAATCTGTCTCGGAGCCAGCCTCCCGAACCAGCGAACCCTTTTCTTGAGGCCATGCGCAGGGCAGGAACATCATCAGGGCTGGGCATGGATCTGCTAGCTCGTAGAGAAGCGTCACTCGCTGTTACGCCACATGAACGCACGGCTCATAAGCCGCAATGTAAGAAGAAGCTAAATATTGCAAACAAGCTGGTCTACCATCGGGGATATGAGGAAGTTGCGGCTAACGGCAGGCAAGACAGGACGAATGGGGACAATGGCGGAAGTTCAACGCCGCCGTATTGATTGATTTCGTAGAACTGCAGGATCTCTTCGACGAAGAATACCGTATGGTACCTACGCAATGGATTGAGGCTGACAAGGATGAACATCTCCGTAGACCGGGTGGACGTCCTGTTGCACCGCAGCACAAGAGTAGATTTGTCGTGCGTGGAGATTTGGAAGAGTCGTTGGGCATCCGCGCGGATTCACCAACATGTGATTTCGAAGGGCCAATGTTGATAGTATCATGGGTTGCTGGTACGAAGAAGATTCTCAAGTGTGCCGACATTGCATCTGCGGGCTTCCAGGGGCAGGAACTTGACCGCCTCATGCTGCTCAAGCCACCGCCCGACGGACTCGCTGGAGCACCGGATGGTGGAGCACTGATCGCGCGCATGCCTGTCTATGGCACGCTCGACGCAGGACGACGCTTGTGGAAGAAAATTCGCAGAAGGTTTGAAGCTCATGGTCTGAAGGGGAATCGTCTCACGCCTGCTTTGTTCAGGACTCGCAAAGACAAGAACGATATCACGTGTAGTTTAGGCGCACGTGTGGATGACGCACTGTGGCTTGCAGATGACGAAAGTCAGAGAGTCATCGATTCGGTATTAGAGGAGTTTGATACTCGCGAGATCCAGTCGGACAGTTTTCGTTTTTTTTTGCGGTTTAGAAGTTGTTCGAGATGAACATTTCACGGTGAGTATCGCGGCCGAGGACAACATTGAGAAGATCGAGGGTGCATCCGATCGGTCGTAGGTGCTTTGCAATGAGTTACACGTCAGCACAGCTGAGATCGGTCGTAGGTGCTTTGTCGTGGTTTACGCGGCAGTGAAAACCTGAGCTATTGTATCGCGTGAGCAGACTGCAGACTGCAGTGCGTTACGCTAAGGTACTACATCTCAAAGAAGCCAGCAGTGCATCAGAAGAAGCAAGTCAGTCTGCCGACTGCGGGTTAGTATTCACATGTGGAGCTGTTAAGTGGAATCAAGAGATGATAGTTCTTAATGCTACTGGCGCCAGCTGAGCAGGAGAAGAGGACATAGTCAAGGGTAGAACCGAGCCTCTCAAGTCACAGAGGGCTAGACTCCGCGGCGAGGGTTCATCGAGGGGAACTGTGATCAGGTTCACCCGATATGCACATCTAGTAACATTATCAAACGAGCATGTAAATCTACACTGCCAGCAGAGACCCTGGCTTGTTTATGGGGTGTTAGAGTCTGGTGTGCGCATTCGCGCCGCCGTCGCACATGCGCGTGGGATGCTTGGCGCCGGAGAGAAGCTGCCAACCAGCTGGGAAGACAATTCAACCATGTTTATGAGACACTTATGGATGACGGGTTGCAGAAGTACTGAGGAACATCTCATAGCACCAACTATGGGTAAGGCAGAATATAAGCGCTGGAGCATCGATTTGGGTAGTCTAAGTCCGGGCATTTGGACGAATGGAACTGGCAAGATCCGATGGACCGATGCAGGTAGTATGGCTGTTGATTGTCTGACGAAGAATATGCCTAGATATTTCGTGGTTAAGATCTTACGCGCAAGTTCTCATGACGTAACCCCATACCCTGAATCTACACGAAGGTCACGAAGCAACGGGCGAGGGCCATAATTAATGCTATCCCAGCGGGGAAGTGAGTGACTGAGTCCTGGCTGCTTTTGATTTGAGTAATCCCAACATGGGAATACTCCTTGTACTGCCCCTAGAGGCTTGCTGAGACCAGCGGTGCTGCGCGGTCTGCCGGCTAGCTCGTGATAAAGTTTCACGGGTGTGAGATTGTGCGTGTGTCGCGCGTGTATATGCACAATTCTCTGCCGTTGACCTCTCGGGGCCTTTTTGCCATTGCGCCAAAACGCATCACGATGACACCAGGTTTCTTGGACATTGTTGCCGCCAGCCTCCACGACGCCACCGAGGGGCATGTACTGGGGCACGACCGTCACGCGGCCGGGGGAGCCAATCACCTTGACCTGGAGAAAGCCATGGGGACCAGCCTTTCTGGCAACGTAATGGGAGGCTGCATTGCGCCCCCTTTAGAATGAGGCTACACTCATTTTCGCCCGGCTCCCAAGTGATCGCAAAACTTCACAGATCTACTATACCACGCAACGGTTCGAGGAGGATGCCAATATGTGAAAGCGCGCGTTGTGTGGTCGCTTGGAGAGGGGGGGGGGTGGAACCAGACCCCCCCCCCCCGTTGATGGAGGGGGGGGGTTCGAACCCCCCCCCTCCTCCCGTGACGGAGGGGGGGGAGGGTTTCCCCCCCCCCCCCCCCTCCCCGCCCTGCTTCCCCTCTCCTCGGGCTGGCGCTTGCGTCGGCGGCTGGCGACGGCGGCGGGGACGACAATTTCCATATCTTTGCCAGCGCCGGCCGGCGCCTGCGGCGGCGGGCGGCAGTGGCGGGGAACGTCGACGAGAACGACGGTGGTGGTGGGTGGTGGTGGTGGTGGTGGTGGTGGTGGCGGTGGTGGTGGTTGCGGTGGTGGTGGTGGTGTGGTGGTTTGTTGTGGTGATGGTGGTTGTGGCGGTTCGGGTGGTGGTGGTGGGTTGTGGTGGTGGTGGTGGTGTGGTGGTGGTTTGTGGTGGTGTTGGTGGTGGTGGGTTGTGGTGGTGGTGGTGTGGTGGTGGTATGGTGGTGGTTTGTGGTGGTGGTAGTGGTGGTGCTGGTTGTTGTGTCGGTGGTTTGTGGAGGTGGTGCTGGTGGTGATGTTGGCGGTGGTGGTGGTGCTGGTGGTGGGGTTTGCGGTGGTGGTGGTGGGTTGTGCTGCTGGTAGTGGTGGTGGTTGTGGTGGTGGTGGTGTGGTAGATTGTGGTGGTGGTAGGGGTGGTGGGTGTTTGTGGTTGTGGTGGTGATGGTGACTTGTGGTTGTGGTTGTCGTGGTTGTGTGGTGCTGTTGGTGGTGGTGGTGGTGGTGGGTTGCGGCGGTGGTGGTGGTGGTAGTGGTGGTGGTGGTAATCGTCGCTGCGTCCCCGCTGTCGCCAGCGCCCAGCGCGGCGTTGGTGGCCGCCGCCAGCGCCGGCGCCGGCGCGAGGGGAGTGGGAGGGGGGGGGGGTGAAACCATTCCCCCCCCTCCTCCCCTGAGATGCCTCTGGTCATCGTCGCTGCGTCTCCGCCGTGGGCGCTGCGGCCGCCAGCGCCGGCGCCGGCGCTGGCGCCGAGGGGGGGGGGGGTGAAATCCCCCCCCCGCTGGAAGGGGGAGGGGTTCGGGAGGGGGGGGGGCTTGGGGGGGAGGGGAGTTCCTCTGGTTTTGATCGACGGCGCCGAGTGTTGGGGGGGGGCCCACCCCCCGGTGTGAAACGCGCCGCCGAATGTTCCCGAGGCAAGCGCCCGTGAAACGCGTTCTCTCCAATATGTTGATCCAGGACAGCCGGGGTCTTGGCGCACAACAGCAGGCACTCGTTATCAACGAAGGCCACGTCAATGTTTGGTAAAGGGGTGCCGGGCGAGGTGGGGGGGGCGAATCTTGCCCCCCCGTTGCCCGTCAGGTCGCCGTCAGCGGGGCCAGGAATGTAAGTATACCCACTGCATGCCGAGGAATGATGGGTTGGTCCGCAGCAGCCATCCATACACCACCAACATGCCCGGCCACTGCACTCCTATGCCATAGTTCGGATGTAGCATGTCCGCCCCTGGGGCCTCGACCAGGAGGGCGTAAGCACCATGCTTGGCCCAGGGTGTCTCTGGCCAAGACTGGTGGGGATGTATGGATGCCTGCTGCGTTAGGGGACGATTGAGTCAGGGAAAGGAGGAGCGACACTGACGGCGAGGGATGCGCGGGTGTAGGAGATGAGAGGATGAACGCCCCGCCCCCTTCCCCTCCAAGAAGCAGTTCCCCGTCCTTACCGACATCCTCCCCCTCGTCCCCCCTTCCCATTCTTCTGCTCCTCTTCCTCCTCCTCGCCGTACTCGCCCTTCCCCCTTCCCATCCCCCCGCCCCATCCTTCGTCGAGCAAACACGCTCAGCGCTGCGGCGTTGCGCGCTCGTCTGCGCAGTTGGGACAGCTCGTTGTCGTTCGTTCATCCTTCTCCTCCCGCCCCCCGCCCATCTTTCCTCGTTTTCATTCCCATGTTTCCCAGCGTTCCTCCCGATCCCTCCTCCTGCTCCTCCTCTCTCCAAGTGCAGTCTTCCCGCCCCGTGGCGAGGTTCTCGCCGCTCGCCGCTGCCATGGGCAGCAGGCAACCCGGCGAGACGCAGCACTCGTTCCAGCACCCCGGGGGGGACATGACCAGGCGCGTGAGACAGGGCCCGGCCAGACGGCTTGCGGAGGGAGGGGGAGATGAATTGTCACCGCCAGCGAAGGAGCTCGCCTTGGAGGAGGTAGCGCGGGCTGCGGAGGAACTCACCAGTGCGGTAAGAGACCAGCCATGCATGACCTGATCTAGGCCCCGCGGAAAAAAGAACTGATAGTAATCGCCATGAGGAACACGGGTCCAACGGGTAACGGGTTCTGAGGTTGTTCGCCGTTCTCGGGCTCTCGGGGCCTTCCAGACGCTTCGGGGCCTTCAGCAACCGATTCATGATGAAGATCTTGTGCTGGGGGAAGTCCCACGGGTCGTCAAGCTTCGGGTTGCGCGCAGACGGCCCCCCAGGTAGTCTGCGCTGGCCTCAACAGGCCCCAGCTGGCCTCACCCCCCGAGTAGCCCGAGGCGCCCCCTTGGGTTGGTGCGTTGAGACCGCCCCAGACTACTCGGGGTGCCGGTTGAGGCCAGCCAGGACTGTCTGCGCGCAACCCGAAGCCTTACGACCGGCCGGACGGCCTGAGGAGGGAAGAGGGGACCTACAGTCAGACGAGCAAAATATACCGATACCGTTGCTCGTTCTGGAGGGCCCCTCGTCGCCATGGCCCGATTCATTTTTGAAGTCCTGGTCAGAGTGCGCCCCGGCAGCAGTCCAGAGACTCGTCGCGGTGTCGGTATAGTTTCGTTCCTAGAGAGAGGAGTAGGGGGTTCGAAAGATGGGCCCTCAGGATGAACTTGCGCAAACTTTTCAGGGGGCCGTGTCGCAGGGCCCAGTATTCGAAGCGCTGAGGCAGGGAGTGAGCAACTGGGGTGGGGAGGAGGCCGGGGGAAGAACAATGGGGGGGAAGGAGAGAATCGATTGAAGACGGCGCAGGGGGGGCGCCTCGTGCACGTCGCCGGGGCGCGGGGTGCTCCTGGGTACGCGCGCGCCGCCCGGATCTCAGGCTCCCCCCAGCACTCGGGCCGCGACTCGAAGAAAACAGAAGCCATTTCGGAAGAACCGAATTCTAGATAGGACACCTTGGACAAATGGCGAGAATTCCGTGGACCAGTGTGAAAATGTCCAATCGAATGAGATACGGAAAGGGGGTGGGGGGCACAACATCTGTGGCGTGCGGCCGGTGTCCGCCCCGCCGCGGGGCCCACTCCTGGATGTCCGTGCAGCGCCAGGAGGCGCCAGGAATGCCAGCTGCGCGAGCTGCTCTTCTGCCCTGCCCTCTGTTATCTCCTGCCCCGTCGCCCCCCCCCCCCCTCCCCGAAGCGCGTGCCGCGCCTCCGTGTCCCGGGGTCGGGGTTTTGAGACCGCCCCCGGCCCTTCGGGGGGCCGGCTGAGCCCAGGCAGGGCTGCCTGGGGGGAGGAAGCGCCAGGAAAACCAGCTATACTTAGGAGGGGAAGGCGGAGGAGGACGAGGAGGCGGAGGAGGAGGCGGAGGAGGAGGAGGGTTGAGCTGATTCTCTACTCCGCCCTTTTACCATCCCGCCTCCCGCCTCCGGAGCGCGTGCCCCGCCCCCGCCCTCGGGGCTGTCGGCCCTCCCCGTCTCTGCCTCTGCGCGCGGGGAGTGAGGGCGCGTTGGGCGTCGTCGCAGCGGTGGGGGCCTCGCGCCGCGTTTCTTGTGGGTGGCGCCCTCGGGCCACCGTCCGGGCGCCCTTCGCAGCGGGAGCGAGGCAGCGCGGCCTGCCACGCACGGCGACTCGGGCGGGGGACCCCGCACCTCCCCTCCGTCCCCTCTCGTTAGAGGGCTCAACGACTGATGCCGTCCCTCGACTCGCGCTGGATCGGCCACGATCTGCTCCAACCTTGTGGAGTCGCAAACCTGGGTAGCGAAGCGCCAGAGCGGCGGCTGAACGCCTCTGGGAAAAGCTTTGAAAGCGTTTGTAAGGAGCTCTCGACGGAGCTTCTGAAGAGGTTGACGGCACACGTATGGGGAAACAGTTAGACAAGGTTTGTAGGAACCCGCTGCCAATTCGCGCAAGTTTCTCCGGGGATTCTGGAACGACGCCAGAACGAGCCCCAGGTCTACCCCAGCGGAGCTGGAACGAGCTCCTGGGCTACCCTGCGGAGCGGGAACGAGCTCCGGCCAGCTTCTAATCTAACATCTTCGCAGCTCTCAGAGAGCTATCCCGGAATCTCTGGAAGGGCGCCGCATCGGCGGAGCGGGGGTCTCGCTCCTCGATTTTGGTGGCGCCCTTGGCTCACCGTCCGGGCGCCTTTTTGATACCGTTTTTTGTTTAGTATATATATATATGTATATATATATATACATATATATACTAGAACCATCGCGCGCGCTTCGCGCGCGCTCAAGTTCTAGCCAGGATCCTCACCATCGTCATCATCGCAATCATCACCATCGTAGTCATCGTCATGGTCGTGTTCACCATTACCATCACCAGCACAACCATCATCATCACCACCATCATCGTCAGCATCGTCAGCACCATCGTCATCATCGTCGTCGTCATCGTTGTCCTCACTATCATCGTCGTCGTCATCATCATCAGCATCATCATCGTCAGCATCAGCATCAGCATCATCAAAGTGTCCGAAATCGCATGGGGCTCGTTTCGGTGCCTGCTCGGGGGCTCTTGGGGGCCTCCCGGGGGGCTCTTGGGGGCCTTTGGGAGCCTCTAGTGGTTTCTGGGGATGCTCTTGGGGCCGAGGGCCCGTAAAGTGCGCTCGGATCCCGCGTCTGGGCCCCTTCTTGGAGCCGTGTTGGGACTCTCTTGGGCCGTCTTCGAGGCCTCTTAAGCGGTCCCGGGGCGCTCTTGGGCCGTCTTGGGGCCGTCTTGGTGGCCTCTTGGGCCGTCTTGGGGCGATCTTGGGTGCCTCTTGGCCGTCTTGGAGCGCCAGGGAGGCCAAAAGGAGAGAAAGCCAAAAACATCGAAAAACACAATGGAAAATATATATATATATATATACCCAGAACATCCGATGCACAGAAAAAATGTGGATCCTCATTTTTCCTCTCGATCCACATTTTTTTGGTGGACTTGGATTTGTTCCGGGGAATCCACAATTTTTCGGTGGATCCACATTTTTGCGTACATGGAATTTTCGGGATTTTCTTGATTTTCTCATGATTTTTCTGAGATTTGTTCGCGAATTTGTCTTGGTGTGTTCTTGCTGGTTTTTATATGTTGAAATGTAATGTAGACCTACATGTTTACTATTATATACATGATGATTGTCAGCGCTTGCGAACTTATTGTCAGGACGTTCCGAATGAGACCCGTTGACAGTAGTCTGAGCCTCGGACGCCACCAGTGCAGTGGCGGGCGGGATTTCATTATCATTATTGCGAGCGCTTGAACTTATTGTGAAAACATCCCGACAGAGAGCCGTTGACAGGACTCTGAGCCTCTGACGCCACCAGTGCAGTGGCGGGCGGGGTTTCATTATTATTGCGAGCGCTTGTGAACTTATTGTGGAAACGTCCCGAAGGAGAGCCGTTGACAGGATTTCTGAGCCTCGGACGCCACCAGTGCAGTGGCGGGCGGGATTTCATTATTATTGCGAGCGGTTGTGAACTTATTGTGAAAACGTCCTGGAAGAGAGCAGTTGGCAGGACTCTGAGCCTCTGGCGCCACCAGTGCAGTGGCGGGCGCGATGTAATTATTATTGCGAGCGCTTGTGGACTCATTGTGCAAACGTCCCCAAAGAGAGCCGTCGACAGGACTCTGGGCCTCGGACGCCGCCAGTGCAGTGGCGGGCGGGATTTCATTATTATTGCGAGCGCTTCGAACTTATTGTGAACACGTCCCGAAAGAGAGCCGTTGACGAGACTCTGAGCCTCTGACGCCACCAGTGCAGTGGCGGGCGGGATCTCATTATTATTGCGAGCGCTTCGAACTTATTGTGAAAACGTCCCGAAGGAGAGCCGTCGACAGGACTCTGCGCCTCGGACGTCGCCACTGTAGTGGCGGGCGGGATTTCATTATTATTGCGAACGCTTCGACGTATTGTGACAACGTCCCGAAAAAAAAAGGCCGTTGACAGGACTGTGAGCCCCGGGCGCCACCAGTGCAGTGGCGGGCGGGATTGACCGTTGCTCTAGCTGTCTGGCCCAAGAGGCCAGCCCCTCTTTTCACGTTGCCGAAATCGCACCCCGTGATATGAGCGATGACGCCGATATCTCTGAAGACGACGCAAGGTTTGAAGATCCCGGTTTTGATCCCGTGTTATACAGGAAGTGTAACTACGGGGGTAGATGGTTGACGCACAGGCAAGTCCAGGAAGAGGTCGCGCGCGCCAGGGGCAATGGCGAGGGCGACGGGGGCGGCCCCGACGACGATCCCGACGAGGACCCCGACGACCACGAGGACGGAGGGATCGATGACGACAACGACGGTCGACCTCAAATGCCGTTCTTGTTTGACCTCACTTTCGGCCCTGACCCGCTTCCTGATGAGCCCCGCGCCCCAAGTGAGCCCCGTCCGACGCAATCGCGCCCGACAGCTTGGAGAGCCTCGGGGCGCGGTGCACTGAGCACGGCTGTCTGAGAGCGTGCCCGGGGAGACTTCGGGAAGAGCGTCCAGAAATTGAACAAAGGACCTTTTGGTTTCAATCGACCCCGCATCCCCAGGGCCCGTCTGCCCTGTCCTTGGGCCCCCCCTTCCCCCCTATTCCCTTCCCTTTTCTACCCCTTCCTCCTGCAGCCATGTTGCCCAAGATGGTGAGATGACGGAAGCCATCGGGTGGCGAGGACCCGATGTCCATACTTGCCCCTCTCTCGAAACCGCAACTCGAAGATACATTGACCGATGGGCTGTTTTCATTTACAAATGTGAAGAAGGGATTGACGTGACCTGCCCGGAAATGTTCCACCCTGCCTACGCCCTTTTCAGTTCAGATCCCAGGGGCGCGCACTTCCCCCAGGGTGACATGGCGAGAGCCGTGACCCACCTGCACCAAGAACGAGACGCCGCTACCAGACTGCATGCCCTGTCTGTGGTGCTCGAGAAATTCGAAACAGGGACCGTTGAAAGCATC